TGTGAAGAACAGTGACAAACGGTTCACCTTAGTACTCAGAGATCGTCCTGATGCTTTAGGTAATTTGAATTTCTGGCAGAGAAATTTAACTAAACCAATGATAATAGACATATTACTTGTTGACGCAATAATATAAAGATAGGTTGTTCGATATGCGTCTATCAAGACAAAATTTCCTCAAGTTGGTGAATCTTCAAGCGTTTACAAGAAAACATACAAGAAATCAATTTTGCGATCACTTTATTCAATAATGAAGCTACTTCTAGCACATCGGGCATTTCCGAAGCTATGTTCATTATCAAGTGAAGGTTCTGATTTTGGTATCAACTACATGGTTTCTTCATTTAGTGCTCAAAATTTTTTGAGGATAGAGAAAGAAGTGATGAAACATTATGTAAAATCCCATTTCCTTTGTTGTTTTGCTTCCTGAATCCTACCTGCATGTTTAGTAGTCAATCAATACCTGACTTTATTTGTAATTTTCTTTCTTTCCTTTTCCTTTTCATTTGCTTTGCTGTGTGCTAATAATGTATATAGAATTTTTTCAAAATGAAGAAATCCTAGAGCCACCACTGAAGTTAATGAAGATATAAAGAAGATTGTAACAATTTTGATACCATGGAATGGGTTGGAATGAAATGCTCATTCAAATTTTGTATTTTCTTTTTCTTGTTTGGTAAGCCTTGTGTAAATGGGAATACATATTCCTTCTTTAAGGGATATACATTCCATTCTATTATTGAATCACCTTAAAACAATATTTGTTGGTAAGCGTTAGCTAAATGAGATTGCTTTAAGAAATTTTTTTAAAAACTATTTTTAGAAAGAGTTCATCAAACAAATTTTTAATATTTTTGGAAAATAACAACATAAAATGAAAATATAACCAACCTATCCTTGAATTTGAATTTTCTATGGAATTTATGAAATTTAAGCTTCTAATTGACACTACTAACAAAAACATTATGGAGTTCCAATTGAGGATGATCATACACCTTAGTATCCACTTCTTAAGTGGTAGGCCTTTGCTTGGCATAACTGAGCCTGGCCCAATCCAAACTAAGTATAGACTATTCATACCAAATGGGTCCGACCCACTTCATGTTGGATTTGTGATGCCACCTATCTCTATCATTTTCCTTGTCGAGAAAGGAAAAATCAAAAAGATGCTAGAAGTAGCGAAATGACACAGATAATACAACATAAACAAATTAAACTATACACATAAAATTATTTAAAGAATATAATTGTATGGACATTAAAAACAAAAAAAAATCAAATTTGATGATAAAGAAATCCAACGAAAAAAATGATCAACACCACCACGCGATCTCCATCTACAAAACAAAACACCTTCAGCCGTAGTCGGGGACCCTTCGACGCCCAAGTCAGTCCCCTAATATTATCAAAATATTTAACGAACTAATTCATAGAGAGAACCCATGAGGGTATTACCTATTTATAAAATCCAGTTACTTACTTAGCAAGTAGTTTGAATATTCTAGAAGTCCTATTCCAAACAATTTCCAGTTGTTTAAGACTTCTATATTGATAAGATTTCATCTCCTAATGAGTTTTTGCATAATATAAAACATTAATACAGTGTTTGATAAAGATTTGACAATTGTCATACACGTGATAATCCATAACCATATCGTGTGGCAATGCTTAGACTCCCTTTTAATAATCAAGATTAAAGCAAAAACAATAGGTAGGTAATTTTTATTTATTTATTTATCTCCTTCTTGTTTTCTTATTTAGACAAAAAAAAAATTATAGAACAAAAAGGTTGGGCTAAAATAGCCCACTAAAAGACAAAATAGCTCATTAAAAGATAAAATAGACTAAAATAGTTAATTACATAAAATGTCATGTCACATCCATAATCATTTTATTTTTTTCTCTCACAACTATCAAATCAACTACAAAAAAAAAGCTAATCAACTTTTCATACACAATTGTTTTAGCTAGGTTAAAATAGACAAAAAAAATTAAATAGTCAATTAAAATAGCCAGCTAAAATAGCCAACTTTCCAAGGAAGGCCTAGATGCAAAAGTTCAAAGAGGGGCAAGAGAAATTGTCATTTCTAGTGGGTAGTGAAATCTTAAATTTTTGGCATTTAATTCAAACTTGGCTCTATTTAGTTTCAATTTCAAAATCAAAATTTGTAATTTTTTTTATAAAAAATAAAAATTAATTTGACAAAAGTAAAAAAAAAAAAACTATTTTTTAATTTTAAAAATTATTTTCATTCTAAAAAATAAAAAAATTATAAAATAATGATAATTGTTTTTATTTATTATTTTTTACTAAATTAATTTTTGTTTATTTAAAAAAATAAAAATAATAAATTTTGAAAACCAATTAAAATAGAAAAATATTGGGTAAATTACAAATATACCCTTGCAGTTTGCTTAAAATATGATTTGCCCCTATGGCTCTGTAAATTACATCCCACTCTTTGAACTTTATAATTTCATAACAAATTATCCATTTTATTAATAAATTATCAAATCAATTAATAGTTTTTAATAATGTTAAAAATTTATTTCAATTAATAATTCAAGTAATTTTATCATTGTATATGACAACATTTAGGAATTTTATTTTTTCAATTAATTATGCTAAATAAAAAATTCTAATAAGGGGATATTTGTAATTTTTTAAACCACAAGGGATAATCTATACTTTAAGCAAACCTTAAGGGATGTATTTGTAATTACTCAAAAATATATAAACATAAAAGTACTGTTAATAGCACCTCAATTTTTTGTTTGGATCCACTCCACATCTTTCATATTTTTTAATTACAAATTTAACCCAGTACAAAGTTGCACTTTTGTCCCTACCATCTCTAACCTCTCAAACCCATATTCAAGCTTTAACCTTCTTTACCTCAACCTCCTAAACTAGCCACCACCAACTCTGGGACACTTTTCTTTGCCATTCACAGCACCAATGCCCACCCTACCTTCGTTCCGCTTTCATGGCCCAATCCTTGCTACCATTGTCCCCCACACATTGCTACCTTGCTACCTCTATCCCTTTTATAGACCAATCTCGCCACCATCGTTCCTTTCATAGCCCAATCCTGTCGACATCGTTGTTTCCACAGTCCCAACCACGTCACTGTCATACCTCCAACAACTCAACCCTTACAATCTCTCTCTTGTAATATTCTCAAATTTGGTTAAGGTTACAAATGAACCGAGCTGTTCATAAATAGCTCGAGCTCGGCTCGTTTAAAACTCATTTGAGCTCAATTTATTTATTAAATAAACAAGCTCAAATTCAATTTTTAGGGTTGTTTATTAATTGAGCAGAGCACAAGTAGTCTTAAGCTCAACTCGATAACTTGAGAAGATAAAGAAAATAAATTAATATCTACTTTTAATAATATATCAAATAAATTTTTAATTTATTTGATTGATGACATTTATTATTGATATAAGCATTCTCGTATATTTTGTTTATAGTTTTTTTTTATAGTTTAATAAGTAAATTAATTTAAATTTAATTTTTTTTTTCAAACTCGAGTTTGAGCTCGAGCTTGGCTGCTTGAGCTGAGTTTATTAAATATTTGATGAGTCGAGCTCAAGTTCAATCATTTAAGCTCAACGTAAGCTCAGCTCGAGCTCGACTAATTCGTAATAAGCAAGCCTGGATACTCAAAAACTCATCTCGACTCGGCTCATTTGCAACCCTAGTTCGGTGGTCTACGATCAACCACCACCATTTGTTCAGTGATCTACGTCCAAACTAGTGCCATTTGTTCAATGGTATATATCTAAATTACCATTGTTTGTTCGACATTGGTTTTTCAAACCAAGAGCTATGACTTTGATTTCTCCATCTCTATTCCTCTCGCTATCGATCTCTCTCTTTGTCTTAGTCTAGAATTGCGAGAGTGGATCATGAACGTAGGCGTTGCGTGTTGTAGCACCGTAAAGATGGCGGTATTTGCAGAAGTGATGGAAAACAATAGGAAGAGAGAAAGAGAAATAGTGATTGATGGAGATCGAGAGAGCGAGTGCGAAGATGAAGGAGGGGTTGACAGATCTACGAAAAAGTGTAAGAAAGAAAGACCATCGAAAATGGTGATTTGCTAGAAAAAAGCCTGGCAAAATGGAGATTAAGGTACAAAGTAGGAAGAATATTTTGGAAATTATGGCAAGGTTCAAAGTAAATGAGGTGAGGAGCTATTTTGATAGTTAGAGATTCAAAGAAGTAGAATATCCAAAGTAGAATGCCTATTAACAGCATCCTAAACATAAATATTGTCTGTTATAGAAAAAGCAAAAAAAAATCATGTGATGGTTGCGCCTAGAAATAAAACAAACCTATCAACGCAAACCCCATTAATTACTAAGAGAGTAATGGATTAATTAAATGGTGTGTTATATGTATTAATTAATATATTAATTAGTGTAAAAATATTAGTTATGATATTATTATGAAAAATGTTATAGATTTCAAATTTTTTACTAAATAAATAATTAAATGTTTCACATAAATATGGGTCAGTAAAATTGTGAATCCCACATCTATGTGAGACATTTGGTCATTTGTTTGATAGAAAATTTGATATTCCTAACATTACTCTATTATTATTGACCATACTTATTATACAAATTATAAATATCAAAAACTTGTTAAGTTATACCACATCATTAATTGATATATTAGTTAGTACATTAATTAATACATGTAACATTATTCTTAATTAAAAGGGCTGAACTTATTTAAAGTTGAGTCAAATTTGAGCCTGGGATCGATAAAATTTATTATAGTTGTATTTTAATAATTTGGATAGTTGATTTTGTCAGTTATTATCAAAAATATAAATAAATAAATTAATTAATTAATTTAATAATTTTAATTTTTTTATTTTATTTTATTACCTTTATTTTAAAAAAATAATGATAAATTTATTTTATTACCTTTATTTTAAAAAAATAATGATAAATATATTTTTAAAAATGATTAAATGTCCATCAAATTGTGACAAATTCCATTATCTGAACTTGATAAGCCGAACCCTGATTAAAATTTAGATAGTCCCTTCACTGAAACAGCTCCCTACTCTACGCAATCATTCTCGTGTTCGATCCTCTCTCTGTCTCTTCCGGTGGCAGGCACAGATCTCTTCTTTCGTGTAAGTTTCCTTCTTTGAGTTCTCTGATCAGTTAATCTATCGATCTCTAAAGCGATCGTTCCGATTTTGATTAATTTCACTAATTGAATAGTTTTAATACCTTAATCTGTGTGATAGTTTGTATTACTTGCAATCATCGTCATCATCACCATCACCATCACCATCATCACCATCACTATATCATCATCCCGATTCTTCCGAATCACTTCAACTCAATCAGCTAGATCTGCTCACTTTATTAACCTTTTCAGTTATTCTTTAAGTAATTCATGGTATTATATGCATATACTTATTTCTTTAAATCTTTGTGATTCTAAATCTGCACGAATCTATGTGTGCAATCAACAAGAACAACTCTTTTGGTGAATTTCTGAAGGTGTATGTGAATTCGTTTCAGGTTTTATGTAGATAGTGAGCTTCTCTGTGGTAGATGATTTGTGTATATACATCTATGAATAAGCCTTAGAATTTACCTTCTTTTTGTGAAAGATTTGACGGGTGCAAAGTGGTTTGTAAGATGGAGGATAGGAAATCTGTATAAATATATTTTGTGGGCAGAGAGAAACATGGATTTGCAGGGTAATGTTCAGGCTGAAAATGGAAGATTCGAACAAATAGTTAATCAGTTTCTTTTGAAAAGCTTGCATATCATATTGGACTCTAGGGTTCCTTCAATTCGTCCATATGGTCGCAGTCGTGATCTGTTGTCAGGCACTCCTGTGAAGAAACTCGACAGATGGTTCAGCTTATATCTTGGAGATCGTCCTCCTGCTTTAGATAATTTGAGTTTCTGGCAAAAAAATTTAACGGAACCGATGATAATAGACGTATTACTTGTTCAAGAAGTGCCTGATTATTCATCTGAGCACAATCCAACCTCTTTGTTGGGATCGGGGAATTGTTTTGAGACTGTCATAGAAAGATGGGTTGTTCAATATGAGTATATCAGGACAGCGTTTCCTCAAGTTGGCGACTTTTCAGCCTCTTACAAGAAAACATATAAGAAATCAATCATACTTTTGCGTTCCCTTTATTCAATGATGAGGCTTCTTCCTGCATATCGGGCATTTCGAAAGCTATGCTCACCAAGTCAAGCTTCTGATTTTGGTATGAACTACAAGCTTTCTTCATTTAGTGCTCCATTTTTGAGGGCAGAGGAGGAAGTGATGAAGCAGTATAGTTTCCCTCCTGTAGATGCCCCACAAGGTCGCCTTTCCATATCTGTGACTTATCGTGAGAGTTTGTCCAATTTCAACCTTGAGACTTCTACCTCATTCCCACCACAGATTATTACAGACTATGTTGGTAGCCCTGCCACCGATCCTTTTAGGTCTTTACCCTCTTCAGAGAAGGGTTTCAGTGCTACATCCTTTCCATCAAGAGGGGGACGATCACCTTCTTCAACACCATTTCAACGTCCTCAAAGCTGGACAAGTGGCCTCCATAGGATGTCTCCTTTAATGCAACCCCTCAGTGGAGGATCTCCACCCTTGCATCGCACATCAACTATGCCACATGATTATTCTTCATCCCCTCCTGATACATATGGTCATCGGATTCAAAACTATAGGTTGCCAACTCATCATAAGACAACCAGTTTTGATGAGCACCAGCTTTCACCTCCATTCTCACAATCTCCTTCTCCATCACCCCCACCATATCTTTCTGGTGGTAATCCTATGCAAACCCGTCTGCGTTCAGAGACTGCCCCTGTTAGTATCCCACACCCAATGATGGGCAGAAGCCCTAGATACCTTTCACCCAATTTGTCTGATCCAAATAGACATTCACTCCCACCTTTTTCTCCCAGATGCACAAAGCCCGATCTATCATTACAGGATTCCCCGTCTGGAATACGGTTGCCAAAGAAATCAGACTCATCAAGAGCTTTGGATTTGAATTCTGGGACGGCAAACCAATTTTCTAGCCAAAAGGTAGTCCTTGCATTCTGATCCGGCTATTTTTTTGTTCCAAAAACCGAATTTTGTAGTTTTACTCGTATTTTTGTGCCTTCTGCTGAGGTCCATTGACATATTTTGTAGGTGTTAAGAGATAGCAAAGATGATTCAGGTCGTTTCTCAGGTTTGCTATCTTCAAGTGGCTCTCCACGCATTGGATTTTCAAGAAGCTCTAGTAGATTATCTTTCCAGGATGATTTGGATGATTGTGACTTCTCATGCCCTTTTATTGTTGATGATGTTGATACGTCAGATTCCCTCGCCAGGTACTTCTGTTTTATCTCCATTCTTACTGTCCTAACGTAGGCAGGAAATTTGTTGTCAGAGTCCTAATTAAAGTGTCACTATCTTGCTCTCTCATTGCATTGTGACCTATGACCTATCCAAGTATAGGTGTTTCGTCAATGATCAGAAGCTACACTACCTAAATTTAACTGCATGATTTTTTCTGTAATTTTTGAACTTGTAGCGGTACGAAAGAGTTGTTGTAGGAAAGAGCTTTTATTTGCTTTCTAGTCAATTGGATCTGGTGGTTTGGTGGCATCTACGATCTGTATTTGGGTTGTAGAAAGTGAATAACAGAACAAAGTACAATAATGAACTTATGCAAGAAAAGAAAGTTCAATCTTGAAGTGAGAAGGAGAATACTAAAAGTTTTTCAAAACGAAAATTTAGGCATTCTCAAAGCTTTCATTAGGGCAGCTAGAATGGGGCTCAAGGAGTTTATATCCATAGTAGTTTGGTAGCTTAAGGTAGAAGGAATTGAAAGATATTGGATCGAACTCAGCAATGCTTAATCATATTTTTCATCTATTCTTCAATTAAACACCCCTTTTACAGTGCCTCGTAATTTGAAGTAGTTACACCAAGCATCCATCTAATGTAAAAACTAAGGCCAATCATAAATTAACTAGGATACAATGAATATGTCATTTTCTTTCAGTAGGTTTCAGACCACAATTTGAACCTTAAGTACTGAAGTTCTATAAAAACTATTGAAATAACCTTTGGGTCTTGAAGAGACCTTTCCAAGCACTAACTATGCAAAACAGAAATGGGGCAAAGTAACAGTTCTTGGGATCTTAATTTTTGCGCTTATATATATATATATTTCAAATAGTTTTTCTCTTCAATCTGTGTACATATATGACATAGTTCCAGGGGTAAATGCTGAACATATCTTCAGTGAGGAACATGTGCACCGGCAGGAAAGCTTTAGTTATACATGTGATTCTTGCTTAGTCATGTGATCTAGGTAAAGGAGCTATATTGGTCAATATTGTAAAAGGAGGGACAAATTTAACAAAAATCCATGATACCATTCTATTTATACCATTTGGTTTGTGGAGCCCATCTGTCTGTTGTGTAGTCACAGTTCACCGGAAAGTACAATGATAAATTTCTGAAAAAGAAAATGGAGTACAATATTGACAGTAGGGAAGAAAAGATGATGGAAAATGAAGAATTGTAAAAGTCTATTAGAACTTAATGTAGGCAAGCTCAAAACTTTTTAAAGGGTGGGAATGAGGATTGCTGATCTAGTCTATATAGTGCTTGTAATTTGCTTTTCTAAAAGATTGAATAAAATTAGAAGGGAGAAAATGAAAATTTTTAGAAGTTTTGGTTGTTCATCATCGAGAGGACCTTACAATGCCTGATAAAAGGTTCAACAAGCTAACTTGAACCTTCAATCTTAATAAAATTAACAGTAATCAAATGACTCAAGTTTCATCAACTTAACTTTTTTGCCAATCAGTTCTTGAGAATTATTTGAATATTTAGCAGTAAATGTTAAAGTGAATTGCGAGAAGAATCATTGGCAATCTCAAGTGACCTTTTGCAGAAGAGCTAAAAGCTATCCACAACTGGTAAATGACAGAAAAATTGCAGCTCTTGGGAGCTACCTCAAATTTTTACCGTGAATTTTCCCTGCAATCTTTGTATATATAACATATTTTGAGTGTTAACATATCTGTGGGTCAACATGAAACACTCCATTAAAAATCACTTGCTTAATTTCATGAAAGTGGCAAGACGATAAATAGTATTATGATAACCACATGTGGTGTTTAACTTAAACTATTTATTTTGTTGATGTAATTTAGAATGCAGAACCCATTTGCCTTTTGTCAGTCAGTTTTCCAATTTTTTGTAGTCGTAGTAGCAATGTCCTTGATGCCGCGTTTTAAGGTAAAGGGAGGAAGACTGGGTTGCTTAAGGCCGGAAAACTAGAATACAATCTAAGGATGACTTCTTTGTTGGCGAAACAAAGGGCTAAATAGCGCTAGTGATTCTCCCGGCTGCTTTATGTATCAGCGCTAGAGACATTCACCTTGCTTGGTTGGGTTTTTTTGAAATTTTTTTTGAAAAAGTCACTTGAAAATTGTTTTTTGAAAAAAAATGGTTGTTTGGTTTCCAAAAAAATACATCATTACCATTTCAAATTTTCCTCCAAATTAATCATTGAAACAAATAAAAAAACACAAAAAAATCACATCAAAACATTCTCTCATTTTTTTAAATATATATATATATACATACATACATATATGTATACATGATTCGACCTATGGTTACATTATGTGGCATGTACCCATTTATGGGTATATATCTTACCATTAACTGTATCACTTTTTATAAAATTTCCACTCATTGCAACCATAGAAAGATTAATTTTTTTTTCCCAATTTGGCATTAAAAAATTTATTTCGTATAATCAAATTTGAATAAATGTTATGCACAAAATGAAATCATAAATTTGTATTCGCAAAATCGTACGCTAGACAAATTTATGTAAAAAATTTCAATCTTCAACTTCTTATATAAATTCAACTTCACTAATTTTCATATATAAGGACACTCTATTTTTGCTTTTCTCCTTCATGTTAAAAGCACAAATATGCTGCATGTTTGACTGCCAATCTTAACTCAAGCCATAAAGCTTTTAATTTTGGCATCGCCATATCAGAGGCTCTGATAAATGCAGGAAAATGAGATCCAGAATAATATCCTTTTAAATAAATCACAACTAATGAAGACATGGAGATTATAATATAAAAAATGTGCACGAAGTATATATTATCAAAAAATATTAGATATATGATGTAGATTATAATAACTGTATTTATTAACCTTTACATAAGCAAGAAAGCTTCAATTTAAACAGTTATTAGCAACAAATTATCCTGCACCCACATATACATGAATGAATCTACACATACATCAATAATGGAGACCTACAAACAATTGTGAGAGGTTTCAAAAAATGGGATCTTCAACCATTTTTTCTACTTATAAAAGTTCTGTTTGTGTACTTTAAAAGACCAGAGGTGAAATCAGAGTTCACATAATTAGAGTCCACATAGTAGTCCAAGCAAACTAAGGAACTGCCACATAATTAAACATTGATTTGTTTTATATGTCCAAGCAAACTAAGGAACTACCACATGGCATTAAAAAGCTGAACATTTTCAACAGAATAAAGGTTTAAGGGATCTTCAACTTTTTCAGCTACCTAGGAAAAAAATGCACTGGTACATGAAGGATATAATGAGAACATCAATCAAAAAGGTGTTTGTAAAGAACAAATGCCAACATAACATAGAATACCACCGCATTATGCATGACAATTTATACAAGTCCATAACTTCCTTTCAAAGTTGAACATAACTTCCTTACATAACCATAGTTGACAAATGAAATACACGGATTAAAAAAAAAAAGTAGGCGCCGATTTTTAGTGTTTTAGCTACATACGCTCACATACAACAACTTGGATGCTGACCAAAACGAAATTGCATCGGTACAAAGTCCATCATCCCTAAGCAAGCTTACGAACCCAATGCAGCTGCATGTTGGGTAGCATCAACATGAACATTTTCCTCGTTGCTTTATCGCGGAAATTCTCGCACGCCTTCACGTATTGGTCGGGAGTGATTTCGTCCATTGTTGCCAAACATTGGATACATGCTGCAATGGAGTTTTGTTTTTTCTCAGCCTGGCTCGCTTCAGCCATTTTGTTTTGGCGAGCAAAAAATTCTTTTTTGGCTGAAGCGAGCCAGGTTGAGAAAAAACAAAACTCCATTGCAGTATGTATCCAATGTTTGGCAACAATGGACGAAATCACTCCCGACCAATACGTGAAGGCGTGTGAGAGTTTCCGCGATAAAGCAACGAGGAAAATGTTCATGTTGATGCTACCCAACATGCAGCTGCATTGGGTTTGTAAGCTTGCTTAGGGATGATGGACTTTGTACTGATGCAATTTCGTTTTGGTCAGCATCCAAGTTGTTGTATGTGAGCGTATGTAGCTAAAACACTAAAAATCGGCGCCTACTTTTTATTTTTATTTTTAATCCGTGTATTTCATTTGTCAACTATGGTTATGTAAGGAAGTTATGTTCAGCTTTGAAAGGAAGTTATGGACTTGTATAAATTGTCATGCATAATGCGGTGGTATTCTATGTTATGTTGACTTTTGTTCTTTACAAACACCTTTCTGATTGATGTTCTCATTATATCCTTCATGTACCAGTGCATTTTTTTCCTAGGTGGCTGAAAAAGTTGAAGATCCCTTAAACCTTTATTCTGTTGAAAATGTTCAGCTTTTTAATGCCACGTGGTAGTTCCTTAGTTTGCTTGGACATATAAAACAAATCAATGTTTAATTATGTGGTAGTTCCTTAGTTTGCTTGGACTACTATGTGGACTCTAATTATGTGAACTCTGATTTCACCTCTGGTCTTTTAAAGTACACAAACAGAACTTTTAAAAGTAGAAAAATGCTTGAAGATCCCATTTTTTGAAAACTCTCACAATTGTTTTTAGGTCTCCATTGTTGATGTATGTGTAGGATTCATTCATGTATATGTGGGTGTAGGATAATTTGTTGCTAATAACTGTTTAAATTGAAGCTTTCTTGCTTATGTAAAGGTTAATAAATACAGTTATTATAATCTAAATCATATATCTAATATTTTTTGATAATATATACTTCGTGCACATTTTTTATATTATAATCTCCATGTCTTCATTAGTTGTGATTTATTTAAAAGGATATTATTCTGGATCTCATTTTCTTGCATTTATCAGAGCCTCTGATATGGCGATGCCAAAATTAAAAGCTTTATGGCTTGAGTTAAGATTGGCAGTCAAACATGCAGCATATTTGTGCTTTTAACATGAAGAAAAAAGCAAAAATAGGGTGTCCTTATATATGAAAATTAGTGAAGTTGAATTTATATATGAAGTTGAAGATTGAAATTTT